CTTCCTACCTATCATCCATCTATCCATCCATATAAGTCTAAGTGTTATTGCCCTTCCTTCTGCCCATCTACCCATCCACCTGTCCGCCCATCTACCTACCTGTCTATCTTATCTACCTTATCTATCTACCTAACTACGTATCATCCAGCTATTTGTCCATCAATCCATCTATCCATCCATCCATCCATCCAGGTCTTAAATGCTATTGCCTTTCATTCCTTCCTTCCTTCCTTCCTTCCATGGTGGCCCAGTGGTTAGAATACAGCATTGCAGGATGACTCTGCCCACAGCCAGGAGTTTGATCCTGAACAGCTCAAGGTTGACTCAGCCTTCCGTCCTTTCCGAGGTCGGTAAAATGAGGACCCAGATTGTTGGGAGGCCAGAGGCTGATTCTGTAAACCGCTTAGAGAGGGGCTGTGAAGTGGTATATAGGTCTAAGTGCAATTGCCCTCCCTCTCCTCCCTGTCCTCCTTCCTTCCCTCCCTCCCTCCTTCCCTCCCTCTCCTTCCTTCCTTCCTTCCTTCCTTCCTTCCTTCCTTCCTTCCTTCTTTCCTTCCTCCCTCCCTCCCTCCCCCCTTCCTTCCTTCTTCCCTCTCTCCCCTTCCTTCCTTCCTTCCTTCCTTCCTTCCTTCCTTCCTTCCTTCCTTCCTTCCTTCCTTCCTTCCTCACAGTGGTTAAAATGTAGTATTGCAGGATGACTCTGCCCACAGCCAGGAGTTTGATCCCGAACAGCTCAAGGTTGACTCAGCCTTCCGTCCTTTCCAAGGTCGGTAAAATGAGGACCCAGATTGCTGGGAGGCCAGAGGCTGATCCTGTAAACCACTTAGAGAGGGGCTGTAAAAGCACTGCGAAGCGGTATATAAGTGCAAGCGCGATTGCTGTGTGCTTTTGTTTCCTTAGCTTTCCATTGGGGGCATCATCGTCTTGCGAGACACCAGCGAGGACACGGAAGAGCTGGTGGAACCCGTGGCAGCCCACGGCCCCAAGATAGAAGAGGAGGAGCAGGAGCCGGAGCCCCCCGAACCTTTCGAGTACATCGACGACTAGGAGGAGGTGGGCGTCCTTCGCGCTTCCTGCTTGGATTCCCTCCCACCACCCAACGCCAACATTTTAATCTGGCTGGAAAATGACCCCGGAGGAATTATTAGGGTTTTTTTTTTTTTCTCAGCTGGGCAGGGAATTTAGCGACGTGGACATTTCTGCGGTCAAGTGTCATGGTAGCGGAGGAGGAAGGGGACGCTGGGGCCTTGATGGGGTTTTTTTTTTTGCAAACGTTTCGGGACCCAACTACGGAACATCAGCAGCGCTAGAAGGAAGTGGGTGTGTGGAGTGAAGGAGAAGGAGAAAAAGAGAAGGAGGAGGAGGAGGAGGAGGAAGGGAGAGGGAGGGAGGGATCTTTGTGTTCTGACCCGGCCTTCACAGATGCAAGAAACGGACTCCCGGCAAAGGAGAAACCCTCTTTATTTACACCTTGGGAATTAACGGCCTTCGCCGACCGAAAGTCCAGGCGAGAGTCCCGCAAGGAGTGAAGTGAAGCAATAGCCCTTATCAGCTCATTCAGATAAATGCAAGGCCTTGAGCTCCGACCCAGCCAGGAGGCGGCAAATTAAGTGAGAGAAAGAGACAAACCTCCGTTCCGGCAAGCCAGACTTCGTCCCACGAAACACGCAAGAAGCAACAACGAAGCCATTGTCGTTTCCTCCTATTTATTCCCCAGCCAGAGAGGGGCCAGTCAACGCTCTCTGAGCTTGGTTGTTGCCTTGCAGATGTTTCATTGCCTAACTAGGTAACGTCATCAGTGCTGGAAGGAAGCGATTGTGTGGAGTAAAGGAGAAAGAAAGGGAGGAGGGAGAGATCCTTGGTGCTCTCTGAGCTTGGTTGTTGCCTTGCAGATGTTTCATTGCCCAACTAAGTAACGTCATCAGTGCCAGAGGAAGACTAGGATGTAGGTGGCTTGTTTAGACTGTCCCGCCGGCCACTCGCCCGAGAAGGAGCCCAACCTTCTGCAAGTGAGCCAAGCAGGGTTGAGCTGAGCTGAGCTGCCCTTACTCCACCAAACACCCATCGATGGTCTTGGCACGAACGTAACCCGGGTTCCTTTCCTTTCAGATGGGCAGCCCTCGACGGAGTTCGGCGCAACGCCGGGACATCCGGAGCCCTGTGGAAGAAGCTCCGGTGACGAGCCGCAGCTCAGCGCATGTCCCAACCGACGCTTCTCTCGCCGGCCCGCACCACAGACGACGGAGAGCAGCAATTTCTCTCTTTGGCATTTCTCATTTACAGGAATTCGGTTTTCAAAATAAATTAATAATAAAATTTAAAAAAAAACACAAGCCTGGTGGGTTTATTTTGCTTTTCCTCTTCGCTTGATTCGGAGCGAGACGGCCGGCTTGGGCGGGACCTTCAAAGAAGCGGCGTTGGGTTAATTAATTTCTGCACCCCCAATTATGTTCTTGGCACAATTGAAAAGTTTGGGGCTTCCAGGTGACCTTTTCCGCTGTGAAATACAGGTGGTCCTCGATTTAACGGCTGCAATGGAGCCTCCACATTGCCATTGCTAAATGAGACCGTTTTTTTTTAAAAAAAAGCAATTTTTTGTTATATTTCCCATTGTTTTTTTCATCACAGTTCCAATTGTCAGCAATGGAATTCATCGCTGCCAACATAGCTGGAGAAAGTGGGACTGGGGTGATGTTAACTGAGTGGCTCTTAGTAGACAAATATACACTGCTCAAAAAAAATAAAGGGAACACAAAAATAAGACATCCTAGATCTGAATGAATGAAATATTCTTATGAAATACTTTGTTCATTACGTAGTTGAATGTGCTGACAACAAAAATCACACAAAAATTATCAGTGGAAATCAAATTTGGCAACCCATGGAGGTCTGGATTTGGAGTTACACTCAAAATTAAAGTGGAAAAAAACACTACAGGCTGATCCAACTTTGATGTAATGTCCTTCAAACAAGTCAGAATGAGGCTCGGTAGTGTGTGTGGCCTCCACGTGCCTGTATGACCTCCCTACAACGCCTGGGCATGCTCCTGATGAGGTGGCGGATGGTCTCCTGAGGGATCTCCTCCCACACCTGGACTAAAGCATCCCCCAACTCCTGGACAGTCTGGGGTGCAACGTGGCCTTGGTGGATGGAGCGAAACATGATGTCTCAGATGTGCTCAATTGGATTCAGGTCTGGGGAACGGGCGGGCCAGTCCATAGCATCAATGCCTTCGTCTTGCAGGAACGGCTGACACACTCCAGCCACATGAGGTCTAGCATTGTAGTGCATTAGGAGGAGCCCAGGGCCAACCGCACCAGCATATGGTCTCACAAGGGGTCTGAGGATCTCATCTCGGTACCTAATGGCAGTCAGGCTACCTCTGGCGAGCACATGGAGGGCTGTGCGGCCCCCTAAAGAAATGCCACCCCACAGCATTACTGACCCACTGCCAAACCGGTCATGCTGGAGGATGTTGCAGGCAGCAGAATGTTCTCCACGGCGTCTCCAGACCCTGTCACGTCTGTCACATGTGCTCAGTGTGAACCTGCATTCATCTGTGAAGAGCACAGGGCACCAGTGGTGAATTTGCCAATCTTGGTGTTCTCTGGCAAATGTCAAACATACTGAACGGTGTTGGGCTGTAAGCACAACCCCCACCTGTGGACGTCGGGCCCTCATACCACCCTCATGGAGTCTGTTTCTGACCGTTTGAGCAGCTACATGCAGATTTGTGGCCCGCTGGAGGTCATTTTGCAAGGCTCTGGCAGTGCTCCTCCTGTCCCTCCCTGCACAAAGGCGGAGGTAGCGGTCCTGATGCTGGGTTGTTCCCCTCCCACTGCCTCCTCCACGTCTCCTGATGTACTGGCCTGTCTCCTGGTAGCGCCGCCATGCTCTGGACACTACGCTGACCAACACAGCAAACGTTCTTGCCACAGCTCGCATTGATGTGCCATCCTGGATGAGCTGCACTACCTGAGCCACTTGTGTGGGTTGTGGACTCCGTCTCAGGCTACCACTAGAGTGAAAGCACCGCCAGCATTCAAAAGTGACCTAACCATCAGCCAGAAAGCATAGGAACTGAGAAGTGGTCTGTGGTCACCACCTGCAGAACCGCTCCTTTATTGGGGATGTCTTGCTAACTGCCTCTGCTTTCCACCTGTTGTCTATTCCATTTGCACAACAGCATGTGAAATGGGTTGTCAATCAGTGTTGCTACCTAAGTGGACAGTTTGATTTCACAGAAGTGGGATTGACTTGGAGTTACATTGTGTTGTTTAAGTGTTCCCTTTATTTATTTTTTGAGCAGTGTATAATTCTTTGGATAGTTCAAGGTTAAAAGAGTGTGGCGCAGAAAGAATTGGAACTTACTTTGGGATTGGTTCATGTGATGTGATGATGAGGGAAAAGGGGTTGGGACCTTTTGGGTAACCGGGGAAAGCGTTTTGTTTTGGAATTCCACAGAATGTGCCAGGCGCTATTCCAATAAAAGTCCTTTGAGATGGAGTTACTGACAGGAATGGATTTTTCCCTGGAATGCTGCACACCAATTTTACAACGTCCGTGTACTGGTTATATCAAATCCCCCTTTTTTTGCATCATAGTATACATCCTAGTTCTGCGATGGCGAACCTATGGCATGCGTGCCACGGGTGGCACCCAGAGCCCTCTCTGTGGGCACTCAAGCCATCGCCGCAGCTCAGCTCCACTGAGCAGGCGCATGGGCCTCCTGCCTGCCAGCTGATTTTCAGGTGCCTGCCACCAGGGGGCAGGGTGCATGCATGAGCCATGTGCGCAGGCGGGGGAGCACAGGGGGCTTGCCCCCACACATTCACTGTTTGGGGCCTAGTAGGCCTCCCTGAAGCCTACTGGGAGGAAAATGGGCACGGGAGGGACCACACACACACCGTGCCCCATGCAGAAGCAAGAATTCCGGACACGAAGGAACGGCAATAACTCAACACCGTTGGAATGTCAGGAATGCAGATAAGCAAAGTCGACACAAGATAAACTCACGTTTGCTCCCAGAAGCTGCTGCACTCAGCTTCCATCTCTTTTAAACTCCCTTCCCAGCTGTGGCTAATGAAGGGAATCAGGGCCCTTTCCTCCCCCGTAAGCCACGCAACCCATGTTGCTCTGTTCTCTGTCCCTCCCTGTGTGCCCTAGGATGAAGAGAAGAGAGAATGCAGAAGGGAAGAGAAGAGAATGCAGAATAGAATAGAATAGAATAGGAAAAATAAAATAGAACAGAAAAAGAATAGAATAGAAAAAGAATAATAGAATAGAACAGAATAGAATAATGTAGAATAGAATAGAACAGAACAATATTGAATACAGAATAGAATAAATAGAAGAGAATAATATAGAATAGAAGTATAGAATAGGACAGAAAAAAGAATAGAGAAGAATAGAATAGAATAAGAAATGAATAGAATAGAAAACTTTATTGTCACTTTGAATGTACACTAATCGGCATACATTAAAGTGAAATTTTGTTGCATCCAGCTCTAAAGGGTCACCACCTCCAATATACACTACATAAACATGACTAAATAAAGAAATACAAATTATGCATATTTGAAGAGAAAGTCGGGTTTTCCCAATGCTCAGCCACTGTCTTTGGGGAAAGATGTGGGTGCAAGGAACATCCTTCTTAAGAGAGGAAGTCGGTGTGAGGTTTGATCGGTTGGCGTGAAAACTTACATATTCCTTACGGGAGGGGGAATTCTAAGAGGGACCTCAGTACTTTATTAAGAATAGAATGGAATGGAATGGAAGGGAATGGAAGGGAAGGGAAGGGAAGGGAAGGGAAGAGAAGAGAAGAGAAGAGAAGAGAAGAGAAGAGAAGAGAAGAGAAGAGAAGAGAAGAGAAGAGAAGAGAAGAGAAGAGAAGAGAAGAGAAGAGAAGAGAATTCTTTCTTGGCCAAGTGTGATTGGACACACAAGGAATTTGTCTTGGTGCAAATGCTCTCAATGTACATTAAAAAAGGCACATTCATCAAGAACCATAATGTACAACACAATGATAGTCATAGGGTACAATAAGCAATCAAATCATACTAGCAAACAGTCCATATAAATCTTAAGGATACAAGCGGCAAAGTTACAACCATACAGTCACAAGTGGGAGTGGGTGGGTGATAAGGAGTGATGAGCAGATTAATAGTGATAGTAATGCAGACATAGTAAATAGTTGGACAGTGTTGAGGGAATTATTTGTTTAGCAGAATGATGGCGTTGTGGAAAAAGCTGTTCTTATTAACACATCAATATTCACAAAGCTGTGCCAGGCTCCTGCTAGCTGTAACACAGGGTTAATCAGGGGCCATTTTGGGGTTCACATTTTAATTACAGGTTGCCCTCAACTTGCGACCACAACTGAGCCCAAAATTTCCACTCCTAAGCAAGACGGTTCTGTTAAGTGAATGTCCCTCCATTTTACGATCTTTCTTGCCACGGTTGTTAAGAAGTGAATCTCTGCCGTTGTTCACGGTCGTTAAATGAATCTGGCATTTCGCCCCATTGTCAGAAGGTTGCAAAAAGGGACTCGTGTGACCCCTCCCCAGGACAGTGCAACCGTCATAAATCTGAGTCACCGTCCAAGCTCCTGGATTTTGATCACCACGGAGGTGCTGCAACGGTCTAATTGAGAAAATCGGTCATAAGTCACTGTTTTCAGCACTGTTACAGCTTTGAACAGTCACTAAACGAATCATTGTAAATCAAAGACAACCTGTAGTGGAATGCACATTTTTTTTTTAATATGCAAGCAATTTTTTTTTTCAACCTGGTGGAAAAAAAATGCAAGTTCTCTCCCTCTCGTTCTCAGCTGCAGTGTGCTTGTTTGCCTCCGTGTGTTTGTGTGTGTTCACACCTCCAGCAAATGTGTGTTTACATATTTTCTCTCTGTGTTCGGCACCGAACAGCTTGGAAGGAAGGCGGGCGGTGAGGGGAGGAGAGCTGAAAACGGGGCAGACAATAGACCCACAGTGAAGGCAAGAGCAGGACGAGTAAATCTTCTTGAGGTGTGGAACCCGCTGGGTTGTCGATGAGGCGTGCGAGGAATATTTCCGCCTCGTGACATTTTTGTGGGTTCGCTTTCCATGCCAGGGGCTTGGCGCACCGCTGAGCTGTGAAGTGAGCAGAGGAGAGGAATTGGCAGCCCGCAGGCCTGGCGGGCGAGAAGGATGGTCAGGCGTTGGAGAGGGATCAGAGGGGTGGCGTCAACCAGCGGCGGGCTTAAAAAATTTTAGCAACCGGTTCTCTGCCCGGTGGCTGGGTGGGTGTGGCCATGGTGGGCGTGGCCTAGTCAGCCTCCTGCATCATGGA